ACAGATAGATAGATAGATAGATAGATAGATAGATAGATAGATAGATAGTTAGATAGATAGATAGATAGATAGATAGATAAATAGATAGATAGTCATTTGCAAAATGTTTTACTAAAAATGAAGCTACTGGGTTAGAAATGATTTAACCGAATGTGTCTTTTATTGTGTTTTAAATTTAGACTGTTGTCGTCTGTCCCAAGGTTTGAGGAAGGGAGTTCCACACTGATGGAGCTAGGTGGGCGAACGATCTTTCAACTATTTTCTCAACCACCTCTCCCAGAAGCTCTTAAAAGATACTGATCACCTGATCTCAGTGAGCTAGACGGTGGAACATAAATCTGGATGAGGTCACTAAGATATGTAAGTTACTCTCTAGTAGCATCTACAATCTTCAGCACCAGGTGACCTATTTTTACTGCAAGTTCCGTTAAAATCTTAGTAAAAGAAACACGGCTGAGAATATTTATTGCTAGAGGATGAAGGTATAGGTGAGGCATCGTGGGGAAATCGGGCGCTAATCAAAATAATAAAATCGAAGAAACCGACATTTTTCTCCCCATTAGGTAATTTGTATCAATTTTAATTTGGCTCATCATCTTTTGTGTCCATTTAAAACACAATTCTTTGTGGATTTACCTGAAAAAATTGATAAAAGGTACAAAAAACAACAACAACCCAGCCCCCTCCCCCCAAAAAATTTTTTTTTTTTTTAAAATAAAAAATGCAGTTTCTGAGGACACTCAATCACTCAAACTTTAGAAGTCACGAGACATTTTGTCGCTATTATTTATCTCTGGAAAAAAACAGGCGACCCCCACCTCCTTCATTTTCAAATGTCTCGACTTGTATTCCCGATAGACGGTTATTTTCCCACCAAAAAGCACGACAAATAGACAAGCTATACGATGATACCAATAACTCCAAAACATCCCCCAAAACAGACGAGCGTCTGATTCTACAGCATCGCGACACAATTTCGGGACACTAAGGTCAGTCAATCAGGCACGTCTGCTGGGAGGGCCGGGGGGTGCGTGTGAAGCCAGGACCTGGGACCTGGGACCTGGGACGTGGAGAAAAGCCCGGGAAAACCTGTTCCTGTCAGGCCGGCCCAGACCACTGGCTTGTCACGACTGAGTCCAACGACAACTTTTCCCCGCCGACATCAGCGTCGGACGCAAGACCAGAGCTGAGCGTTCCTGCCAGGAGGACGCACAATGACCACGTAATTATTGTTTCACTTTCGTTCGGTGTGTGTGGTTGGACGGTAATCATTACTCTGTGTGGTTCAATAGCTTCCTGTTCCCCGTTTTGTAACTTAATAATTTGACTTAAATATAAAAAAAAAATATAGATTTTATTTTTGGTCAACTGATTCAGTTTGTATTTCTTACACCGTTGGCTGATTTTCTGACATCTCTTAGGAAAATACGCATGTTGTTTGAAATGTTTTTTCGTTGAAAGTCTATTTCTCATTCAAGTAAGTGACACGTATGAAGGTGCACCTAAAATTTATATATCTCTAGACCCTCCCTATTACATTGCTTTGTGCTATCACTGTGTTCAGAATATTCATTGGAAATGGTGAGATCACTGTTCATCGGCAACTTAAAGACAAAATATTACGTAACGGTTTCGTTAAAGAAACCTCAAAAAATCTTCAAACCAATAACATTTTCAAGCTATTTCTTTGCTATTTGTAAGATCATCAAATAATGTCATACAGAACTTTTGTTTGAAAAGAAAACTGCATAATATCTCAATTAGCTTTTAGTAGTTTTTGCATCTGAAAAAGTTGCAAATTTTAATTGGGGTAGGGGTAGGGGTTACAAAAATATAAACAAAATTCCAAACAAGCAAACAAAGAAAAAAGCGATTTTGCTGATTAAGTATTGTAGAGAAAATGTTGAAAAAAGTTAAAGTTGCAACATGGTTATAAACGCAGTATGGAAAAACTAATTGAACTGTATTTGTTTTAAAAAAATAATAACAAGTGGAAACTTAAGTATTTTTGTTAACAAGATCTTACAAAATTAGACAATTGACAAAAATACGTAAAAAAAGCAGTGGGGAAAAAAGCAACAACTTTTACATAATATTTCTCTCAGTTGCTCTGGAATGATCGGTTAATCTATGCAAATCCCTCACTATTAGACACATTTACACTGAAAACAGTTACAACAGAAATCTTTGTATGTATATTTGTAGAGTTCAAAGGAGCGCGCAATCTCAGTAGCACCTCCCCTTTCATCAGTGTTGTGAATATTGATTATCGTATGGATGAAAACCGCTTATGTAAGACCTACTTAACTTCCATTTTCTAAGCCAACCGCTCAGACGCCTTAAGCCCAAAAATTTTGAGATTAGATTGTTTTTATAATAGTTTCTCAATTGTCGGTAATGGCATGTACTCGAGAAAAATAAGTTGAAATTCAACTTCTTTTATTTGTTTGTCCATTGCCCATTTCTATGATATTGACGCTATCTGGTTAGTAGACACATGTGCGTATGATAGTGTCCAATACTGTCTTACATACATAATTGTTATAACATGTAACTGTTACATATAGATGTTCAAGATAATTATAGATGAATATGAAGGATCTGAGAGCAATGATGATTTTAGAAATGACGGTGGTGGTGGTGATAAGTGATGATGTGGGATGTTGTTTATGTAAATAATTATTAAGAAGACATGCTTCTGTTAGTTCAGGTTTTATTAAAAATGTTAGCGTCAGTCATATCTTCCACTGCTCTGATGAGTCACGAGGAATGTGGGCACCCGCTATCCCATTCGCTACTGGAAGAAATTCAACTTCTAAATGTTGAGAAAAGCAAGAAGAGATACATAATTTAGGTGTTTTTTTTTTTTAAAGAAAAAAGAATGAAACAGTTTTTTTCTCTGTCTTGAAGAATGTTTGCTTTCTGAGCTTAGTACATTTAAACATCTTGCAAACGGTTTTTTTCTTCGCAAAACATTTTTTAAAAAGTTTACGGCTTTGTGGGAGAAATGTATTGTCGTTCCGGTTTAAGCATGAGACTATTCGATATGGTTCTGAATAATTTCTACTCCAACTGGGAAGTAGGAAACAATAAAGCCTGCAGACAGCAGGCCCGCGGAATGATTGTGAAGCAGCGCGGTGAAATATCAGGCGCTCGTCAAAACAATAAAATCAAAGAAACCGGCAATTTACTGGGCATTGGGCAATTTTTATTTTTCGATTTTTCTTTTTTTTTTAACTCAACACTTTTATGTCCTTTTAAAAATATATTTCTGTTTGGATATTACAGAAACGTTGATTAAAGGCACAACAAACGAAAATTTCCAGTTTCCACGGACACTCAAGCTTTGGAAATCACCAAACTTTGGTAGCCATTTTCTCGCTAATTTTACCTCTCGTACCGGACGACCCCCACTTCCTTCAATCGCAAATATCTTGACTTGTTTTCAAGATAGATTGGTATTTTTTATCACCAATTGAAAGGCAAATAAACAATTCAAGAAAATATTAATGACAGGAAAAGAGAAAAAAAAACTGTTTCATTCTTTAAACATTTTTCGTACACTATATATCTTCTCCCCCCCCCCCCCCAAATAAAAATAAATAAATAGATAAACAAATAAATAAATAAATAAATAAATAAATAAATAAATAAATAAATAAATAAATAAATAAATAAATAAATAAATAAATAATTTAAAAAAATATATATAAAAAAAATAACCCACCAGAAAACAAAACCATCACAACTATCAGAAGCTGAAAAACATCAATAATAGCTAAAAACAACGAAAGAAACAACCAACAGTCAAAGAATGAATGTTAACAGCGTCGATGGTCCAGTAGTTAGGTTCGAATCTCGCCAGGGGCCTAACGCTGTGTCCTTGGGAATGACACTTTACACGAACGTATTCGACTTTAGCGAGGCAGGTGTTTTGCTTTTCATTTGGGGCGTGATGGCACTGTCCAAGGTTCAGTCTCGTCCATCTACATTTTTGTAAAGAGAACGAAAAACAGCAAGTTTAGGCCTAAACCTGAAAAACTAGTCAGACAGAGATGCTGAACAGTTAACTCAGGACAGTTTTTGTACACGACCACATTCATCGTAGACCTATAGGGAGACCTTACTCTACAGTCAACAATATTTACAGTAGGATCGCCTCTATTATGTTAGGTCAATGTGAACAGTATCACGTACTGAAAAGTGGATGATTAGTCTAGAAAAAGAAAAAAAAAAAGAAACTCTCTGAGGACCCACGTTCTGGTAATTTGAAACCGTTTGAAGGCCAGAGGCTCTTTTAGTTTAGTTTTGGTAAAGTTTTCACGGCGCTTGCAATTAAATGCATAATACAGTCATATGAGCGCCAAGGGGTGGATGTCAATTGAGACGTCCAAACGGGGAATCAGGCTTACTCTGCTCACCTCTCTAGCCCCAAAAGCACGAAGTCTTCTTCGACTATCAAGTCTCCCGGGAAATAGCAGTTAACAAGAGAGTGACAAACATACAAAAGAAGTAGAGTAAAAATGACGATAGTATGGATGAGGAAAGAGAAAGCAGCAGTTCCCCCTATGTTGTTCCGAGATGCTCTGTTATGGGGCAATTTAAAAAGATTAAAAGCATGATTTGGTTATCTATATATTATCATATTTTCCTATTAATAAAGAAGACCTGTATTCCGTTTTCTTTATCTAAAACTTTAAAAAGAACGCAAAAATCACGCATATTCTCAGACATGTAAATTCACGATTCTGATTTGTGCGTGAGATTCGAAACATGCCGCAACATAATATGTGTCATGACGCAATAGAATCAGGGGCTCGTCAATTTTTGAGCATACGGAATTATTGATATAATCTGAAAGGTAGTTCATTTTGTATGAAAAAATACCCATCTATCTTGAAATGAAGTCGAGATATTTGCTAGGAAAGGAGGCGGGGAGAGTCTGGTTTCAGAGGTAAAGTTAGAGAGAAAATGGTCGCCAAAGTTTTGGTAACTTCTATAGCTTGAGAGTCCTTAAAAACTGAAAAATTACAGATTTTTGTGCCATTAGTCAACGTTTTAAAGTAAAATTCACATGGGAATATGTTTTTGTATGGACATAAATGGGTTTAAGCCGAAAAATAAAAATTCGGTAAAAATTTCCAAACAGGAATTGGTTGGGGCTTTTTTTTGCCTGACGCCAACACTATATGCACTACAACAACTGTGGTCTCCACTGGTCGAGCGGTCAGTGAGCTCAGAATCCCAACAAATGTCAAGCAAATATTTCGGTGACATGGTGTATTGGGGGGAGGTCACTGGGGTGTGTTTTTGAGAAGGGCACAATAACCCAAGCCCCACCCCCCTACCCCCTCTTTTCTTTCTTTCTTTTTTCTTTCTTTCTTTCGTTCTTTCTTTCTTTCTTTCTTTCGTTCTTTTCTTTCGTTCTTTTCTTTCGTTCTTTTCTTTCGTTCTTTCTTTCTTTCTTTCTTTCGTTCTTTTCTTTCGTTCTTTTCTTTCTTTCTTTCTTTCGTTCTTTTCTTTCGTTCTTTTCTTTCGTTCTTTTCTTTTCTTCCGTGCTTTCTTTCTTTCTTTCTTTCTTTCTTTCTTTCTTTCTTTCTTTCTTTCTTTCTTTCTTGCTTTCTTTCTTGCTTTCTTTCTTTCTTGCTTTCTTTCTTGTTTTCTTTCTCTTTTTTTCTTCCTGCTTGTACAATCTCTGGTGACGTCCTCAGGTTCAGGGAGATGTTCTCTTCAGGAGCCGGTCGTCGCAGGCTGCTTGTCCTGCTGTGTGTCAGCCTCTTCTACGGCACTCTCGGTCAAGGTCAGTGGGTAAATGTAGGGCAAGGTCACTTTGTAGGTGTATGTCAAGGTCAGCTAGTAAAAGTAGGTCAAGGTGTCACAACTCGGTTTCTACGTCATGGGAGTAGAGTTTTTAAAAAGAAATCAGGTATCAATTTCCTATTATTCCTTTGAAACTAATAATAATAATAATAATAATAATAATAATAATAATAATAATAATAATAATAATAATAATAATAATAATAATAATAATAATAATAATAATAATAATTTAAAAAAAAACACTTTCTGTTTCTGTCCGACTGTCAACCAATAAGTTAATCTGACAGTACAATTGTTTTGTCTGTCTGCCAATTGATAAGTCTGTCTGTCTGTCTGTCTGTCTGTCTGTCTGCCTGCCTGTCTTTCTTTCTGCCTGTCTTTCTGTCTGTCTGTTTGTCTGTCATTAAATAAACAAGCCAGTATGTAGGTATCTGTCCGTTGATGATATTTATTATCGTAGCTTGTACCTTGCTCTGTTGTGGTTTAGTTTTAGTTTTAGTAAAAGTTTTACGGCACTTGCAACACAATAAGGTCATATAAGTGCCGAAGATTAGAGGTGTTTCAAGCGAGTAGGAAACACAAAAAAAGGATGTGAGATAAGGACGATTGATGTTTGACAGGAAAGGAGCAAACCACACCAGTGCACCCTCCAACAACACACTGGTGTGGTTTGCTCCTTCTTTCCTACCAAACATCTATCGTCATGATCTCTCCTCCTTCTTTTTTGTGTTTGTTACTCTCTTGGCCCTCGGGCCAATAAAAGCTCGTAGAATGATTTACTGTACAGGACCAACTTGGCATCGAAGTGAAGTGTTTGTGCGGCAAATTTGTATAACTTTTTTGTTTGTTTGTTCTCTTTTGTTGCTGTTTTTTACTTTCTTTTTTTCTCACATGTTTGTTTTTGGCTAGAAGCCTACGTTTTGAAAAATAAAACATTCTTGTTCTGAACTACTATGAATTTAAATTAGGAATATTATATCTTTGTCATTTAAAAGAAATACTTGGAACCAATTTTTTTGAGGATTACTAAATCTGGCCAAGGCTCACCAAGACCCTATTCCAAGCAGGGTAATTTGAGTTTGGGACCTCTGACAGAATTTCTTCTTCTTCTTCTTCTTCTTCTTCTTCTTCTTCTTCTTCTTCTTCTTCTTCTTCTTCTTCTTCTTCTTCTTCTTCTTC